GCTTGAAGGGATGGCGTCCACATGGTGGGACGGGGCCAAGGGCAAGTATGGTAGGACCGTGACTTAGGAGAATTTCCGACAGGAATTCTTTGCCCAATACAACCCTGATTTTGAGGTGAACGCTAAGAGAAGAGAGTATACCCTCCTAACCCAAGGTGGCAAAATGACGGTGAGGCAACTTGAACACAAATTCAGGGATCTCGCAGAGTTCATACCGGAGTATGTCTGTGACGAGAATCGAATGGTTAATCACTTCTGGGATGCCTTAGACTTGGAGGTGCGTGAGAGGGCAACACAGTTGCCTAACATGAGCTTTATCCAAGTAGTCGAGCAGGGGTTGAAAGGAGAGAAGGAATGGGAAGAAAGAAAGTTGAAAAACGCCGAGGAGGCGAAAAGAGAAAGTGAGAAAACCATGGAACTCAAGGTCCTAACAAAAAGGGGAATCATGGAGGAGGAGAATCCTTTCGGGCACCCCCACTGCCATCTAGGGGAAGCCAAGGCCCGGGCGGGCAATCACAAGCCTCGGGGGTGACTCGTTCCAGAAATTGCAAGAGGAACCACCCGGGAAAATGTCGTGAGCCTCCTAGATGCTACCAATGCGGGAGCACCGGGCACATGAAGATGAGTTGCCCACAACTGGGTGGAGCAAGGGAATCGGGACCAAGTAGTGGTACTACCGGGACACGGAATCAGGCCGGGGCTTCCCACGCGTCCAGGGAGAAAGGGGGAGCAAGCGTGAGCAACGCGCCATCCGTGAATCAAAGAAGGACACAAGCCAGAGTCTATGCAATGATGGAGGCGGACGCTCAAGCTAACCCAGATTCTGTCGCAGGTAATACATAAATTTTGAATGTTTTTAGGATTATATGGGTAAGGGAAGTTGTGGGGGTTGAGTACGGGCCATCCCGGGGGCGAATATGGAGGTTTCGCACGGAATGGGCAAAAATTTTCCCACGCACGGCCGGACGCACGCGTGCGTTCCTTCGTGCGTGGGAGGCAGTGGGATTTTGAAGAAAAAGAAAAGGGTAGAATTTTCCCATGCACGGCTGGACGCACACATGCGTACCTCCGTGCGTGGGTTGCAGTGGGCTTTCGAATGGAAACTGCTCCACGCACGGCCGTGCGTCACCCTGTGCGTACCTCCGTGCGTCCCCCATGCATGGAGGGCAGTAGCCCCAGGTGGAAATCCGAAGCCACACATGCGTGTGTCACCCCACGCACGCCGTGCGTGGCACCCAGGCTGCCCACCGTCAATTGTTTTGCACCGATTTGCGACGTTAAGACCTCTCCTTGATCTCAAACATGTGTATGAACATAATAAACCTCTATAAATGTATATAGATGGTAGGAAGGCATCTTACATGACTTATAAATGTAGGAACACTATAGATTAATGGGAAGGATGCACGAATCCTTAGATAAAAGAGTTAGAGGTATGCAAATTCGATCGCATATGACTCAAGTATGTATCTACTCTACTTCATGATATTTTATGAAACAAATAATAATACTTCTCAAATCTTAAGTATAACGATCAAAACAACAACATCCAAGCCTTAGTCCCAAAAGATATTGAGGTTGGCTGAGTATAACGATCAAAAGTGAGTATGAAAATATAATACTGCGATATTTAGATATATTTCCCAAATTCGAACGCATATAACTCCAGTATGTATATATATTTATATTTATATATAGTAGAGCAAATGGAGTGTTTGTCCCAATATCATCCAACAATCATACAAAGCTTTGATTCAATACCAACAAAGATTTAGAAATACAAAATAAGGTATTGAAATAGCAACTTGCGGGTCTCTCTCGCTAGAATGATATGTGTTGATTGATTATGCGAGGCTTAGGGTTTTCTTAAGTTAGCATCCTTTTATACATAAGGATGTCTAACTTAAGGCTTACAAGTGGGCTATATGGCTTGAAGTATATTTGTGGCCCATATTACACATTTAATTAATAACTACACGAATACAAAGATATTTAATTAGATTGGACACCATAAAATATTCCAGTTCGTATATCCTACACCCGGGTGTACGGGTGGGAACCGTACATCCGGGTCTATTTGTAATTTAATTGAAGCTTCAGCCCAATTTTAATAAAGTTTAATGAATTTGATGAAGGCCCAATTAATTAAGAACGACAACCCATTTAATTGATACAGTCTAATTTTTTCGGTGGCATTTTTGTGAATTAAGCGAAAAATCACGGCTAACGCTAAATGAACAATAATGTACTTTTAGTGAGCATCTAACCTATTTTATTGAGTATTAGGAGACTAATAATGAGTATCACGATCTTTGCTTCATATCTTCTGATTCTTTTTCTTTTTCTTATTTTTTCTTTTATATAAACTTATTGAATTATATCTATAATCCACTCTTATTAATTTCAATATGTGAGTCTAATGTAATATGATACTTTTGAAATATACATTGATATGACATTGTAAAAATGAGCATAACATGAGTACCAAATGAGCATACATAACTTACAAAGTGCACATTAATGTGAAAATTGTTAGGTTTGTTAGATGAACATCATGACATTTTAACTGAGCATCAAACCTCCACTATTGAGATGAAAATCACTACTTCTGGAGGATGAGTAATAATGAACTTGTAATGAGCACCAAACCTATTCTGTTGAGCATCAAACCTCCTCTATTGAGATCAATGAACATTAATGATTTTTTAATGAGCATCAGACCTATAAAAATGAGCATTCGTAACTTACAAGATGATCATTGATATGAAAATGGTATGTTTTGTTTGGTGAACATCAAGATATTTTCAGTGAGCATCGAACCGCAGATTATACCGTGGGATCAGCCCACCGTGCGCACGGTGTGCCGATCCCTAAACGGCACAGTTTTAATTAAAAAACTCAACTTCTTCCTTCCCAACTATTAGATAGGCCGTTCCTCCCCTCACAAATTCGATTTGGAGACATATAAAACATCGCAAGACCTCATTGGATCCGGATTTGTGCAGAGCAGTCCCCTACCAATTCAAATGGGTTTTTCTCTGTGCGCTTCTTTGAATCGTTAATTGACACCCCCCACCATGAAGAGAAAGCTCTAAATCTGTTGAAGAAGCTCTCTGTATATGTTTTGCTGCTTGTAAAAACGACTCTATGTCTCTGCTTGCTTTGAATCTAAATCTATAATAATGCTCTTTGATTTTTTGGAAAGAATCGGGGAAGGGAAGTGTGCTCTTTTATATATACTTCGTATATAAAAGAATTGGGTATTTATCTTCATCTTCATTGTGTTTATGTTGATGGATGGAGTAATTGGTTTATATGTATATTGATTAATAAATGTAGTTACATCTCTGTAAATGCGTTTTACATATAAATAGGCTAAAATTACATTTTCCAAGTTACATCTAACCTGTTTTCAAGTTACATTTCAATTTAAACATTTTACATTTTAATGAGTTACATTTGAATGAATGTAATTTACATTTTTATTAATCTGAAGTTACATGTTTTTTCAAACGATTTACATTTCATATAATTGTGGGAGCAGAGTGCTCACCCTGCACCGCTCCCACGGTATAACAACTAGCATCGAAACTCCGTTATTGGGTACTAGAATCATGAAATTGAGTATCGTGATTTGTGGTCTCGTGTCTATAATCAAATTCTATGCGAATCTAATGTAATATGAGACTTTTGAAATATGTATGGATAAACATTTTAAAATGAGCATAACAAAAGTACTAAATGGAAATACATAACTTACAAAATGAGTTTTCAAAAGTTAAAATGTTCATTTGTATATATTTATTCTTTTTAGACGCTATAATTATTTGAGTTTAAAATAAAGAAAAAAAGGAAAAAGACAAAAAAGTAAACTAACTAAAGTAAATTAACTAAAGTAAAAGTAACGAAAAAGTAAAATAAAAGAAACGAAAAGAAAAAAAGAAAGAAGAGAAAAAATGTAACGAAAAAATAAAATAAAAAAGACAAAACAAATATAAAACGAACTAGGATGACGGGATGGAGGCTAAAAAATGAAAAAGAATGATGGCTGAAATAAATAAAAGCAACGAGGAGTGAAGGAATGAGGATGACGGTATAAGAAGAATCAAGAAAAGCATGGATGAGAGAATCAGCCTGCCACGTCATTTAAAAACCGGATGGACATGTATACCCGAGTGTATAGTATAATTTGTCTAAAATATTCCCTACATGGAGTATTACAATATTTGGATAATGTTTTTAATTGGATTAGATTGAGTCCCAATTCCCACATCACATCAAACCAAATCAGATCTAATTTAAGCGCATCAAATTAGATTAAACATCGTAAACGGTTGTTCATATTAATACTAATTCATATTTAGTAGTTGTGTTATCACATACTAATAAAAGGAAGAAATTCCACTTATGGTCCTTCGAGTTTTGCATCAATTCCACAATTCGTCCTCGTCTTTCATTTTATCCATTTTTGGTACCTGACTATTGTTTTCTTGACTATATATAGTCCTTTTTCAATAGTAAAAATGCTCAGAAATGGACCACAAATGGTCAAGAAAATAATAGTCAAGTACCAAAAATGGATAAAGTGAAAGACGAGGACTAAATATGGAAATGACACAAAACTCGGAGGACCTAAAGTGGAATTAATTCCTAATAAAAGGGACAAGACTTTTGTTGGTTTTGGCACTAAGAGAATTTTCTTCTACGGGTATAAGAAATAATAAAGGTGCTTAGATTTTACTAATAAAAAACAATTATTGATGAATGCAGTGACTTAAAATAACTAATACTATCTCCGTCCTGCTATGATTGTCTCATTTTACCTTATCAATTCGTCCTACTAAGATTGTCTCATACAAAATTTAGTAAAATTTATGTAACCCTAAATCATTTTTACTTTATTCTTACTTTATTATTACTTTGTTAATTATTAATTTGTGAGTCACTCCTCTTGTCCATGGTTAAGAGTAATAATACTCCCTAATGCTTAGTAAAAGAAAAAACATAATTCGAGTACAAATATAAAACCCCTCACCGCCAATCAAACATTGCCGATGACGCCAACAGCATAATAAGATCATCTTTCCTATGGTCCTACGGAGATGAAGAAATTCAGACTGGGAGATGAACAAATTAAGAATGGGAATCTGGGATGCTGAAGTGCTGAACCGCCTGAACGAATTGAAGTCAACTCCCGCCTTCTAGCCACTCCCGTCGTTCGCCGTCTCGCCGTGTCCGATTTCCTGGGAGTCTGTCGAAAAAGGAGGGAAATTTCTCTATTTAGCCGGCCCTGACCCTAGTTGACTCGTCCTAAACTCGCCCTCATACATTTGATCCACCCGTGGTTTAAGGTGAATTGTGACTTACCTCGTCTTTTTCTCTCTCTTCATATTCTGCATTGGGATCTGATTATTAATCGTTGTGTGAATTGGGAGTTCTGTTTCCATGTTTTTTCTTCTGATCTTTTCTTTATTCCATTCGTTATAATTGTTGGTCTGAGTTTAGCAATGTAGATTCGGTTTTGCTCTGGGTTTTCTGATTGTGTTATTCTATTTATAGGTCATATTCATGTCATACTTTGCGTATACCATTGGATCTGGTGCTACATTGCTTGTTTGATTGATATTTCCATTCAATTTTGGATTTTGTTTCCTTACAATAGGCAGTGATTTATTCTCTTTTCAAACTGTTACACACTGCTCTCATGAATCCATCGTATTTTGTGGAATTAGTGTGTTCTTTTTCTCTAAGGATCTGGATTTTTTTTTAAAGTTCATTCATTTAATTTGGTAAATGGTTTATACTTTGACAACTGTGGATGTTGGATGAAGGTTCTAATCTAGCAGCCTTCACTCTCTACTTTTATATTCAGGAAGCTAATCTGCAATGCATATCTTTTTAATATTTTCTACCTTTCCTTGGTTTTCTACCTTAGAGCAATTTCTATAGCTGAAGAAGCATTTTTGAGTTCTGTGTGGAATTGGGATCTCCTTTACTGCAACTCCTCTTCTACATCTAGTTTATATGACTTAATTTTCTAATAAAATCAGATAGACTCGCAGTAACTTCTAAATTCAATTTTTAGCCAAATCATTATTCATTGGGTTTATGACTTGACACTGAAGCTTCATCCAGTCACAGTTCCCATTAAAAGCTTCCGACGTGCGGAATAGCTGGAATTTGAACTTTAGGGGTGTTTCTGTTTCAATCCATTGTAATATATTTCTTTTTTTATAACTTTTCCATGCAACCGCATACTCGTGTCAATCTCAAATAATACGTGCCGTGTTACACCGTCTTTTTTCCATTTCATCAAGTGAATATGAACCGTTGATCATCATCTCTCACTTACAGATGTCTATACATAGTTTTATAGTTGTACACGTTTCTTTCCTATGCGCTAGTATAAATACGGATGAAGTTTGTCGATTTTAATATGTGCATGTTATTTCCTTTTTGAATAATAAATAAATTCTATTTCCAGAAGCATCTCATTCTCGGTATGAAGGCCCTCATTCTTGTTGGTGGATTTGGCACTCGTCTGAGGCCATTGACCCTCAGTGTCCCTAAGCCGCTTGTTGAATTTGCCAACAAACCTATGATTTTGCATCAGGTATTTTTCTTGAAGAATTCTATTTTTTTAAATATTTACCTTTGCTTATATTTTCAAATTGTAATCCTCATTTTATCAAATTGTAATTCTCATTTGCTTATTTTTCTCAATTTGATGTTCAGATTGAGGCGCTTAAAGATGTTGGAGTGACTGAAGTGGTTCTGGCTATTAACTACCAGCCTGAGGTTGACTACATATGTAATCTGTCAATTCATATAACTCCGTTTGGTAACCTTACCTGACTTATTCTATATGATAAGTAGTTTTTGAAATGAAATCAATTATTCTACAGTTTTTTCATGATTCTCTGTTGAAATGGAAGTTTCCAAACGCTTTCCCTTTCAGATAATTCAACAAATTCAGTCATACTCAACTCAATAACCGTTACCAAGCAGGCCCTTTATGTATATCTATTTTTATTCAACAAGAAGGGCAACTTTATATGCAGGTGATGCTGAATTTCTTGAAAGATTTTGAATCAAAGCTTGGTATCAAGATTACCTGTTCGCAAGAGACTGAACCGCTTGGGACCGCGGGTCCCCTTGCCCTGGCCAGGGACAAATTGTTAGATGAGTCCGGTGAGCCATTTTTCGTTCTCAACAGTGATGTCATCAGTGAGTATCCTTTCAAGGAGATGATTGAATTTCACAAGGCGCATGGAGGTGAGGCTTCGCTACTTGTAACCAAGGTAAGTAAGCCTCCAAACTCCTATCCTTGAAAATTTTGGTAGCATTAAGGCTGTGTTTGATTCCAGGAAATGAGTTTTTTGTGTGTTTTTGTAGGAAAGGTCTTCCTGGGAAAATAAGTTTTTCTGCACTACATATATAATTGTTTTTGACCCACAAAAATGGAAATTGTAGAACTGTTTCATCGCAATTACATTGACTTCCCGTTTCAAAACACAGAGTCTTTTTTTCACAAAACTCAAAGAATCAATTTTTTTTTTTGCTTCAGCAAAACAATTTCCAGTATTCTTTTCCTTAAAACAAAGTGAGCACAAATTTAAATTGTCATTGTTTATATAGGTTGATGAACCTTCAAAGTATGGTGTTGTGATCATGGATAACTCGACCGGGAATGTGGAGAGATTCGTGGAGAAGCCAAAAACATTTGTTGGTAATAAGATCAATGCTGGGATTTATCTGCTTAACCCTTCAGTCTTGGACCGAATTGAATTAAAACCCACTTCCATTGAGAAAGAGGTATTCCCAAAAATCGCAGCAGAGAAAAAGCTCTATGCCATGGTCCTTCCGGGCTTCTGGATGGACATCGGGCAACCAAAGGATTACATCACTGGGCTGAGACTTTACTTGGACTCTCTGAGGAAGAAATCATCACCCAAACTGGCTTCTGGACCCCACATTCTCGGGAACGTGATTGTGGACGAGACTGCCAAAGTTGGGGAGGGATGCCTGATCGGACCAGATGTTGCAATTGGGCCAGGCTGCACAATCGAGTCGGGGGTCAGGCTATCCCGCTGCACTGTCATGCGTGGTGTCCGCATCAAGAAGCATGCTTGCATTTCCAGCAGCATAATCGGTTGGCACTCCACGGTCGGGCAGTGGGCCCGTGTGGAGAACATGACTATTCTTGGGGAGGATGTTCATGTGTGTGATGAGATATACAGTAACGGGGGCGTGGTTCTGCCACACAAAGAGATCAAATCAAGCATACTGAAGCCAGAAATAGTTATGTGAGTAATAGGGAGTCTCCCTGGGAACTTGTCTGTTCTTGGTCTGTCATGTGGCTGTTCTCTTCTGTCTTTTTTTTCAATGTAATTCCCGTCCCATGCTGATTGCTTTCGTTCTTCAAAGTGTAAAAGTTCAATCTGTCAGTTTGAATTTGGGTGTCTATAAAGCTTTATTATAGGCTTGGTGTCTCCGGCTAAAGCTTGAAACATGATTGCACCACTATAAATGGTGGAATCTGCATTGTACATACAATGGTATTTTTTTTTTTGAGTGCAAAATAAATAAATCATTATTATAGTGCTTGATCTCTTTATCTTGAGTTTCAGGTTGATTCTTGTAAATGTTTATTTTTTGCTGTAGCTATTTTCAGTCATTGACTTCAAAATAGATAAGCATTTTAGCTTCTAACCTTGAAAAACCAGTCAAAAGGGTTACGCCGTGTCATTCATTAGACACCAAGTTGGCCCTTCGGAATATTCTAATATGTCAGGGGTTTTTATTACTCCCTCCGTACTAAAAAAGGAAAAAAATCTGAAGGAATTGTACAGCCGGCTGTACCTTGCAATTCAATTCCAGTGCTTATACCGTGGTATTCTTGTTAATAATTTTTTTATTTTTGATCCGATTTTTATAAAATTTATACCAATTTTTTTTTTCATGATCTTTCAAATGAGACCAATATTGCCTATGTAATTTTAATTTTTTACATTCATACATTTTTTTGTAATATATTTTTATATGCATACACTTTTTCTATAATATATTTTTTTAATCACTTTTATATGTTTTAGAGGTTTTTAAGATATTGAGTTTGTTTATTTTGTTTCTAGCTTGGAGTTACATTTGATAATATACGAAATTATATCATCTTATACTCCACTTACAAGTTATTATGTGTGAGTTACATCTTATTATGTGTGAGTTACATCTTGCTATACACGAGTTACATACTTTTATGCGAGAGTTACATGTAATTATGTGTGAGTTACATCTTGTTATGTGTGAGTTACATCTTGTTATACACGAGTTATATACTTTTATGCGCGAGTTACATGTAATTATGTGTGAGTTATATCTAATTATTTGTGATTTTTTACTTATCTTTATCTTGAACTAATTCAATTATAACTGAATTAATTTTTTTCTTTGCCAATTTAATACAAAATTTTATTAATCCACATAAAATAAGTATATTGTATTTCATATTCATACACTATTTTTCAAATGATAAAAATGAAAGATGTAGCAGGGGTTTATTTCATGGTGTAACTCACATACATTAAGATGTAACTCGTGTATATTAAGATGTAACTCGTGTACAATAAGATGTAACTCGCGCAGAAGAAGATGTAACTTCATGATATATTATCAAATGTAACTTCAAAATAATTTGTTAAAATTACATAAGCAATATTGGTCTCATTTGATAGATCATGAAAAGTAAAAAAAAATTGATATAAAATTTATAAAAAACGGATATCAAATAAAAAAGTTATTACAATTTTTAACAATAAAAAAAATAATGAATGTTGCGTCGTTTTGGGATCAGGCGCACCATCCTCATGATGCGCCGATCCCAGGGTATAAATTGCGATTCAATTCTAATCTGAATTGAATTGCAAACTTTGACCGGTACAAGAATTAAGGAATTGCAATAAATGATGCTTACTTTTTACACTTTTGTCCATCTTTCTAAAAGTAGATGTCTTTAAGTTAATGGAAAAAAAGTAAAAGTAAGGGTAAATTTGTCACTTTATTCTTATTTACATACCTAAAATAGAAGGTGGAAACCCATTTTAGGACAACCAAAACAGGAAATTTTGCAAAACAAATTGGGACGGAGGGAGTATGATACTCTCTCCGTCCCATTGTACTTTACCAACATTCCTTTTTTGGTTGTCCCGAAAAACTTTGTCACTTTCATATTAAAACAATTAATTTGTGGTTCTGCACATTTCTCTCATCTGCACAAATTTCAACCACACAGTTTTTATTATTCTTATTTCTCACCTACTTTGCATTTGGCAAAGTCCATCGGGACGGAGGTAGTAGTAAAAATTGGATAGGTAGTTGATCGAGACAAGTGGATAGGGTCACAAGTCACTGGTATCGTACAACCGGCTGTACCGTGCGCACGGTAAAACCAGCCTTTTAGTTCGCATATCCAGCGCTAGCTTCCATCGTAGATTGATGTTCGCATTTCGGTCGTTCACACTTCGCTCGCACTTGCCGAAGCTCGCACTCCACTCTTCGCCAGAAGCTCTTTGCTCGTCGTCGCTCACAAATGACTCGCCAGACTCCCTACTAAACGCAACACCTCAGACTTTCAACGCAGCACCTCAGACTCTAGATTGGGTAGATGGCGGCTCTAATGAGATGTATAGGGCTAGTTGGAATCTTTCTTGTTTTGAACTCTTTTCCTTTTTTCCTTTTTAGGTTTGATGAGTTTGGTAACTTGTTTGGTTGCAACTTAGGAGAATCCTAAGTTATACGTATTTGTACAGGTATGGGCATACACAAAAGAAATTCTGAGCATAGTACACATTTTAAATGAGTTCTTTGATTTTTTTTGAATACTTATTTCGTAATTTATGTATACTCATGTGATATTAGTGCAATACTTGTTTTAAAATGTCATATTTATGCATATTTCTAAAGTACAATAGTACAAGAGGAGTCTAATTCGTTGCTAAGGAATCATTGTTGCTATTGATCTCAAATGAGCTTTATATTAAACTCAAATGAGTATATGTCTAAACAAAATGAACACACAAATTGATATTGAGCACATTAGAAATAAGTTTTATTTTGAACTCAAATGAGTATAACTCCCAAAATGAATGAGCACGCACAAATGAGCTTTTAATATTTTGATACTCATTTTATAAGTTATGTATGTTCATTTGGTACTGTTTTATGCTCATTTTAAAAGATTGCACATGTTAAACATATCATGATCCATTAGATTCACATATTGAAATTAAATGAAATTGATTATAGACATAATTTAAGACTTTAATAAACGAAAAAGTAATTATAAACAGAATGTGATATGTGAGGAATGAAGCAGATATCACTAATGCTCACCGTTAGGATCCTAATACTCAAAAGAATAGGCTCGGTACTCATCAAAATTGATTTAATGCTCATTTAAGAGGATCGATAATTTTCACCAAAATTACAAGTTTGTCACCGACTGTACGGCCGACACCGTACAGCCGGTTGTACCATATACGAATTCCAAGTCAGTACGACAAGGTTGGTTGCAACTAGGCTGTGAAAAACGGTTTAGTTTAACAAAACCAAACTGAAATTGATACTTTGGTTTGGTTTGAGATTACTTCAGTAAATTGTTTGGTAACAATTTGTCCAAATCAAATGGTTTGGTTTGGTTTGATTTTAAATCAAAAAATAAATTGTAACCGAGCTGAACTACTCGTAAAATTTATAAAAATACTTTGTATTTGTCTTTAGTTTTCATCTTTAGGATATAAATGAATAACTTAGATATGAAAAATACATGTTTAGCAAATACGGAGTGTCATTTTCACTTTTACACATTTCATACATTCATCAAGGCAAAGTTAGCTAATAAGCATACTTGTATTTGTTATATTTTGTACTCTTCCTGTATGAAAAGATGTTTGACGATAACAATAGCACATTCCATTTATATCAATTTCAATTAAAATAGAGTACACTATACATTTTACATGATCTATTTGAATAAAATTATGAATTTTACAACTATTTTACTATCGACTCATTTAGTTTTATGCAAATATTTTATGTGATATTATAAATGTTAATCAACTATAAATTTATTGTTTGTGAGAGGTTAATCTTATTTGTAGTGATTCAAAAAATGCTAGACTTTTAATGTCATTAGTCTTAGTAAGATAAATTAGGCGTTAATTGTTGGAAAAATGTGTTAAAAATTGCATTAAATGGTCATTTTGGGGCAATTATTTGAGTGGGTTCCACTTCCGATTTGGGTCGGGTCAAAGTGGTTTCGGATTGTCCTTGTTAAGGGATACAATTCGATATATGGTACGCTCAAAACGGATAACGGGTGAATGAGAAATTGATTCTCGAAGTTCGCTCGTTGAAATGGAAAAACTGGGAAAATGATGAGTTTCTAGTGTGTTTTATCCCACACCGAAAAACTCAAGGGATTTTCACCCCCTTATAAAGGGAAGCCTCTTTTAAGGAGTTAAGATTCCTAAAGGGAAAGACTCTCTTTTACGCGCAGGGGGGGGGGGTGCCAATCAAATGCCGTCCAAAAATCTATCTCTCAGGAGATACGGTTAATTTTTGTTTTCAGGTCCATTAACACCCCATTTAACACACAACAAATCCTCCTATAAATAGCTGGCAGGTGCTTTGCAACAGACACACGGTTTGACAACGCACAACATTTTCCTCACGTTTTCTTGAGCTAAAAACTCTTCCAGCTACTCCCGAAATTCCTTCTGTGTTCATACTTGGTTCTCCTTCGCTGGAACTCTTGTTTGTGTGCTCAAACATTAGTTCGTAGTCATCGTATCCTGGGAAACCATTGTTGCAACGTTCCTAGCACCGTGGGAGGCAACAAATACGTTTTAAGGAAATCGTGCGTAACACGAGCTTTGGCTAATTCTGCTTCATCTCCTTTCTTGTTTTTCTCTAGTCATTTTATTTAATTAATTTATTTTAATTAATTTTCTTTATTTTCTGAAACACACCCAACAATCTTAAAACGTATTTCTTGATTGTTCTACTGAGGTAAACAATCTTAAATCGTAGTTTGTCACTTTGGTGAACGAACTTAATTTTTGTGTTTTCGGAAAAAACGTCAAAGAACGAAAATGACTTCTCAAGAAAATGAGATTGGTGTTGGGCAGAATGTTCTGAACGACAATCACTCTGAAAGCGGAGCACCGGTGAACAATAGTTCACAACGCGGTGCATCTGCTTTGGCCAACCAAAGGGCTATCCCTATGGTGACCGTGCCAAGCAACTCTGTGGAGAAACCCGAGAAATTCAACGGGTTAAACTTCAAGAGGTGGCAGCAAAAGATGCTATTTTACCTCACTACTCTCGGTCTTGCTAGATTCTTGACCGAAGATGCGCCGGTAGCAACCGGGGGTGAGGTGGATGCGCAATCTTTCAACGCGGTTGAGGCATGGAAGCATTCAGACTTCCTTTGCCGAAACTATGTGTTGAACGGGCTGCATGATGCTTTGTACGACGTATATAGCAAACTAGCTACGGCTAAGGAGCTATGGAATGCTTTGGACCACAAATATAAAAGCGAGGATGCCGGCACAAAGAAATTTGTTGTTGGTAGATTCCTTGACTTTAAAATGGTGGATTCG